GTTTTAGTTTGTTTTTTAATATTTTTTATACTTTCTAAGGTATTTATTGATTGTTTTTTAACCTTGTTGTATGCAGCCCAAGTGAGAGGGGCGGCTGATAAACTGCATAAATAAATAAATAAACAAACTGCATAAACAAACAAACAAACAAACAAATAAATAAATACTAAAATAAATTATTAACCAGATTAAGTACAAGCCTAAGATGGTGACTTGGGGTTTTTTGGTGTGTGTGGTTTAGCGTGATGTGGAATCCTAATTCACCTGTTTAGTTTTCAATGTCCTGAGCAAATTGGGAAAATGATGAATGCGCTAACCAGGTTAAGCATTTCGTGAGCACAGTCGGTACGGCAGTTGTGGCTCCTTTGGCTGTAGAGGCATTTTACCCTGAACTTCTCCTTCTCTCCATGCACAGAACCGATACTTAATGAGGATTTTAAACAGCACGTATTACCCTGGAAGGTACTCAGTTCTGGGGCTGGTAAGTACTTGGGGGACCAAAGGGAAGCGCAGAAACCTAGTTTTCCAGCTTAGCAGCAGCAGCAACAGAAAAGATACCAAACCTGCCTTGGATGGCGCTGCTGTGGGTTGCAAGGGGTCTCGCATGTTAATCAAGCCTGCAGGCTAACTGGATGGCAAGGGCAGAAGCCTCGCTCGGGCAAGCGTGGACCTTCAGCGCTGGGTGTCTCCCACAGAGGCTGCCCTGGAGAGCCTCTAAGACGCCCCACGGTTAGTCCCAGACTGCCTCACTGCAGCGGATGGTTGGCTGGGAGCAGGGAAGGCCCGTCTCCCTTTCTCGAAGCTGCTCCAGGCCTTTCCTTTTAGGCCAGCCTCGCCGTATGTTTAATTTGCTTCTTGAACATCTGAAATCTCTTGACTGCCGCTGCAGGTTTTGCATTCTGCAAAGGGCACAATTGTGCCACTCCTGTCATATCAACTCATGATGTTGTGGAATCACTTGGCTGGCCCCACAGTTGCTCCCACACGTACCAATGTTCCGAAAACCATTTTTCTCCTGAAGGACGTAGATAGTTTACTTATTGGATGGTTGTCCTCTGCCCTCTGAAGTGGCAACTCTTCTGGGTTGTTTCTCAGAAGCGTCCGGGCAGCTGGGCTAAAGGGAGGTTTGCGGCTGCCAAAGACCAGCACTATTTGCCTTGAGGCACAGCCAGAAACCTCTGCCGTTGCCCAAAAGCAAGGCAGAAGGAAATGGCCTAAATCTGAGCCTGGCCTCTCCCTTTGGGTGCAGTACGTGGTTCTTACTGACAGGCTCAGTAGGCAAATCAACATCAACCACCTGGCATTTGCCAGTTTGGCAGCCTGTGCCAGAACAGAAACTTCTTTCACTTAAATCTGGTTACGTTTTCAACACTCCACCTTTTGGCATTTTGAATTTGTTGGGATTTTCTAGTCTATCTGGAAAATACCACCTGAACAGTAGAAACTGTCAACATCTAGCCAACATGGGTGGATCTCAAAAAGATAAGGAGAGTCAGATTTGATCATGGCATCACTCTTGATTGTTCAGCTTGATGGTGTCTTCATTCCATTTGTCTTCATCAAATCACGCGGATGTCCTCCCATACTTTGGGTCTGTTATGAAACCATGGAGAAGTG